ATATATATATATATATATATATATATATATATATACGGAGTCACGTCAAGTAGATACAAAAATGAAGGATGCAGTTTTTAGCCAGTAGGGAGGAAAGCTTGTGTAGATAAACTTAAAAGCAAAGCTGTTAGAGTGCGTTCCCGAGCAGTACGGACTTTTGAAGCGCAGTGACTGTGGTCTTAAAATCGGCTGCTATGAAGCTGCAGTTTGCGCCATTTGGTTCGCTTTCTGCCCTATTTGTGGTGCACCATGCTGGTAGAGCGAAGAATGTATGCTGTGTGTTCGTGGTGGTGGCGAACCAGTCTGATGGTCTCACTGAGCAGATTTTTTGGTTTCTTTGTCTTTTGCTAATCATCTCATGTGCGTCGTTGTTTTGTCGCTTTTGACACACACACACACGCAAACAAACACACACAAACACAATGCAGATTCTACGATGTGCTAAAGTTATGAACATGTTATAGTAGGGTAAGTCATGTATGATTTCAGTGTAGTAAAAAAGTTTATTGCATCGTTTTCTTCTGTTTTAGTTTTTTGAAATAGCATAGGATCCGAAACTTTAATACAGCGATCAAGTTCAAGGCTGCCTGTCAGATGTTACGAGATTTTTTTCCCACCGGCTTGATACATAGTAGCTGGATGGATAATTATTTAAATTGTAGTTTGATTCTGGATTTTTTGGTCTTGACGAGGTAAAATGGACGTTAGCAGATGTTATGCTCGCTCTGGGTATTTTTTCGTAGATCAACGGCAGTTTGGTAAGAATATACGATGGGAAGATTATCTCGAGTAAAGATTTTTGCAGCCAGGTTGTTCGCTATGCTTGTAGGTTTTTTGTTGTGACTTCTCGTTGTTTCTTTTCTTTATATTTTTGTAGTTTTCCTACTGTATGTTTTAGAAATGCTGTAGTTTCATTTTTTTTTCTCTTTGGAGGCAACCATTTTTAGAGGAGTTCATTGTGGAAGCACCACTGGTATGTTTGTAGTTCGCTCTAATTTTTCTAGTCAGTTCGTTTAGCAGTATTTGGTTATTCAATTGTCTAGTAACGGATGGTATGTATACTTCAGTACTGGAGGGAGAAATGGGGAAGTTTTGTCACTTTGTTGTCATTAACCTACTTCTCTTATTTTGCTGGCCATTATCTGTTCAGGTCTTTCACCTTAAGCTATTGGTATAGTTGTTTTTATAAACATCTTTCGTATTTTATATGCGCTTGAAGGGAATCAGTTTCATGTAGGTATGAGAATTTTATATATCCACAAATTTCACGTGTTTTTTTTTTTTAAAGATTGTTGGGAAATCCTTTGAAAGCGGCAGATGTTTATATAAATAAATTTGTATTGGGTGTTGTTGGTCTTCAGGGTGCAAGTGTCGCTGTTGCTCTTTTTTCTCTACTCTTGCCGTCTCTGCCTCTTGCGTTTTGGGTGTACTCCTTAGCGTTCTTTAGATGTTTCTCTGTTAGTTTAAGGTTAAGGTTGGATGAGTGGAAAAGGGCTAGGGGGAATGGGGGGGGGGGGCACTTCGGCAAACGTAAAACACATTGTCGTTGGTGTTATCGGCGACTTTGAGTTCGGCTTTTAGTTTATACGTAGCTTTTTCTGTTAAAGTAGGACTGCTGCGTAGTATACAGTTGAACACTGTTAAAGTTAATAAATTCTTGATGGCACTACTGTTTTATTGTTTTTATCATTGTTGCTGTTTCCACGGTCATAGGGTATCGCCTACTTATGTATTGGTGTTTTGTCTGTGCAGTTGGGAGTTGATGACAGAAAAAAGGCGAAAAACACGTTCTTCCGAAAGGCAGTTCAAATGTTTTCGTTGTTGTATTGTTTTTTTTTCTTCTTCTGAGTCAATTTGCGTATTCGTCTAACTTGGTTTTGTTTTTTTTTAACTTTTTTTTTTGTCGAATTACAGGGCAGAGCCGTATATTGCTCCACTGTAGCAATCATGGTTAGCCTACAAAAAATTATTATTATTATTTTTTTTTTTTTTTGAATTTTTCAAGCTCTTTCCGTAAGCACTATCGATTTGTCTTTTGCACAGTTTTTTCACAACATTTTTTTGTCGGATTATTTAGATTTGCAATGACTGTTATGTTGCGTTTTTTTGTTGTTTTTCAAACGGCTTTCGAGCGCTGGCAAAAAGTGATTTTGCAGAAGAGATTTTTTTTATGCATGTGCCGCAATGTTTTCTATTTTCCTCTGTTTCATTTTTTATTTAAGTTCTGGTTGCAGAAAAAATTTTTAACAGCGGTAACCGGGAGAAAACTGTCCTTACTTTTTTTTGATGCCATCTAACTGTTGAGAAATATGCAGACTGTTGGTTTTTTCGTGGTTCCAAGTAGTCTTTTGTTCTCTTGCTGAATGCTCACTTCTACTAATTGGCTGCCCGCTTAAGATTAAAAAGAATGTAACTTGTTAGTGTTATGCTCTTTATTTTCTCATTTCCAATCAGCAGTCGTTCATTCGTTTTTTTTGGGAAGACCCGAGGAACAGCACCGCTACCGCCAAGTAGTGGCTATTATTTATGTACTCACCAATGTTGTTTCATCTTCCTGACAATGTAGCCAGCTCCAACTGGGAGGGAGGATTTAATGCAGAGTAGTTTCAGTTTAGTTAGAAGTTAATAGAACTTTGAGGCACTAATTTGAGAAAGAAAATCAAGTTTTATTTGCTT